CCATTGTCACTGTTGTCACTATTGCACTGTTGTCACTGTTGTCACCGTTTTAACTGTTGTCGCTTTCGTAACTGTTGAACCGTTGTCGCTTTTGTTACTGTTGTCACTGTTGTCACTGTTGTCACCGTTGTCACCGTAATCACGGTTGTCACTGTTGTCACTGTTTTCACCGTTTTCACCGTTGTCACTGTTGTCACTGTCTTCACTGTTGTCACTGTTGTGACTCTTGGGACTGTTGTGACTGTTGTCACCATTGTGACTGTTGTCACTGTTGTCACCGTTGTCACTGTTCTCACCGTTGTCACTGTTGTCACGCTTGTCACCGTTGTCACTGTTTTCACTGTTGTCACCGTTGTCACCATTGTCATCGTTGGCACCATTGTCATCGTTGTTACCGTTGTCAGAGTTGTCACTGTTGTCACCGTTGTCACCGTTGTCACTGTTGTCACTTTTGTAACTGTTGCAGCGTTGTCGCTTTTGTTACTGTTGTCACTGTTGTCACCGTTGTCACTGTTGTCACCATTTTCACCGTTGTCACTGTTGTTACTGTCTTCACCGTTGTCACTGTTGTCACTGTTGCACTGTTGTAGCTGTTGTCACTGTTGCACCGTTTTCACTGTTGTCACTGTTGTCACCGTTTCCACTGTTGTCACCGTTGTCGCTGTTGTGACTGTTGCACCGTTGTCACTGTTGTCACCATTCTCACTGTTGTCACTGTTGTGACCCTTGTGACTGTTGTTGTTGTTGTTGTTGTTTTTTTTAAATATAATTCTTTATTGAAACAAATTGATATTAATACAGCAAATTAGTTACTTACTTACATAATTATAATGTTACAACTAATATTACTAATACTAATAATATAATACAAAAAAAACCAATATCACTAACAATAGACGGTAACCAAAAAAAAAAAAACGACAACAACAACAACAACAAAATTCACACAAACTAGAAATGTGGATGCATATTAAAACCTTTAAATAGTTAAGCATTTACAAGAGGCGACACTATCCATTTAGCTTTAAAGAAATCCTTTTTTGTCACTGTTGCACCGTTGTCGCTATTGTCACTGTTGCACCGTTTTCACTCTAGTCACCGTTGTCACTGTTGCACCGTTGTCGCTGTTGTGACTGTTGCACCATTGTCACTGTTGTCACCGTTCTCACTGTTGTCACTGTTGTGACTCTTGTGACTGTTGTCACTTTTGTCACCATTTTTTGTCGCTGTTACTGTTTTCACTGTTGTCACCGTTGTCACTGTTGTCACTGTTGTCACTGTTGTCACTGTTGTCACCGTTGTCACCGTTGTCACTGTTGTCACCGTTGTCACTGTTGTCACCGTTTTCACTTTTGTCACTGTTGTCACCGTTGTCACTGTTGTCACTGTTGTCACCGTTGTCACAGCTGTTGCACCGTTGTCACTCTTGCACCGTTTTCACTGTTGTCACTGTTGTCACCGTTGTCACTGTTGTCACCATTGTCACTGTTGCACCGTTTTCGCTGTTGTGACTGTTGCACCGTTTTCACTGTTGTCACTGTTGTGACTCTTGGGACTGTTGTGACTGTTGTCACTGTTGTCACCGTTGTCATTGTTTTTACTGTTGTCACCGTTGTAACCGTGTTCACCGTTGTCACTGTTGTCACCATTGTCACCGTTGGCACCATTGTCACCGTTGTTACCGTTCTCACTGTTGTCACCATTGCCACCGTTGTCAGAGTTGTCACTGTTGTCACCGTTGTCAGCGTTGCACGGTTGTCACCGTTGTCACTGTTGTCACTTTTGTAACTGTTGCACCGTTGTCGCTTTTGTTACTGTTGTCACTGTTGTCACCGTTGTCACCGTTGTCATTGTTGTCACCATTTTCACCGTTGTGACTGTTGTCACTGTCTTCACCGTTGTCACTGTTGTCACTGTTGTCACCCTTTTCACTGTTGTCACTGTTGTCACCGCTGTCGCTGTTGTCACTGTTGCACCGTTTTCACTGTTTTCACTGTTGTCACCGTTTTCACTGTTGTCACCGTTGTCGCTGTTGTGACTGTTGCACCGTTCTCACTGTGGTCACCATTCTCACTGTTGTCACTGTTGTGACTCTTGTGACTGTTGTTACTGTTGTCACCATTGTGACTGTTGTCACTGTTGTCACCGTTGTCACTGTTGTCACCGTTGTCACTGTTGTCACCGTTGTCATCGTTGTCACTGTTGTCACCGTTGTGTCCGTTGTCACTGTTGTCACCGTTGTTACTGTTGCACCGTTGTCACTGTTGTTACCGTTGTCACCGTTGTCACTTTCCCCCGTTTGTACTGTTGTCACTATTGCACCGTTGTGACTGTTGTCACCGTTGTCACCGTTGTCACTGTTGTCACCGTTGTCCCTGTTGCCACCGTTGTCACCGTTGTCACTTTTGTCACTGTTGTCACCATTGTCACTGTAGTCACTGTTGTCACCGTTGTCACCGTTGTCACCGTTGTCACCGTTGTCACTGTTGTCACCGTTTTCACTGTTGTCACTGTTGTCA